TCCTGCATGGCTGCTTTTACTCATCGCTATGTACCAGTTCTCAAACATTTTTATTTGAAATTTATCTTTTTATTAAATTTATAATCACTGCCAGTTTGGTGTAGTGGTTAAGTGCGCGGACACTAATCTGGGAGAACCAGGTTTGATTCCCCACTCCTCCACTTGCACCTGGCTGGATGACCTTGGGCAAGCCATAGTTCTGATGAGCTGTTCTTGAAAAAGAGCAGTTTCTGTCAAGAGCTCTCTCAGCCCCACCTACCTCACAGGGTGTCTGTTGTGGGGAGGGGAAGGGAAAGGAGTTTGTAAGCCGCTCTGAGACAACTTTGGGTAGTGAAGGGTGGGGTATAAATCCAATCTCTTCTCCTCTTCTTCTCTTCTGGATATGACTGGGCAATGCACAGTCAGCAGCTTTTTCTAGTAAGAGCTTGCATTTGGCGCAAAACGTTGCAATTCCCGCCTTGTAGTCATGGCGTTTCTCATTTTTAAGTTCACAGGGGTAAGAATGACAGACCCTAGGAGTAACAGAAGTGTTCTGGGACTGGAATGACTGGCCCCAGAGTGGAATGACAGCCCCTGGGGGTAGCAGCAGTGTTCTGGGACTGGATTAACAGGCCCCAGAGTAGAATGACAGTCCCTCGGGGTAGCAGTTGTGTTCTGGGAGTGGAATGACAGGCCCAATGGTGGAATGACATCCCCTTGGAGTAAGAGGAGTGTCCTGGAACTGGAATGCCAGGCCTATCATTACAGTCCCAGGACACATCTCCTACCCCCTGGGCTGTCATTCCACTCTGGAGCCGGTAATTCTAGTCCCAGAATACTCCTTCTAACCCCAGGGGCTACCGTTCCACTATGGGGCCTCTCATTCCAGTCCCAAAACACTCCAGTAACCCCCAGGGGCCATCGAGTGACGAACAATAGATTGTGACTAGATAGCTGAAAAAAGACAAAGTGGACAGCTCCCCTAATGCTAACTTGAAAGCAGAGGCACAGCAGTTCTAAACCACATGGGATAACAGCGGCACCAAGCTGATTCTAAAATCCATGTGTAGATTCGGCCATAGTTAGGAAGGAAGCGGATGCTTATTTTCAGACAGGAAAACATTGTAACCTGCATCCACTTTAAAAATATCAGTAAAGGAGCCTTAACTCATTTAAAAGTTTTCACTAACCAATTCCATCTGGAACCCACCGACAATCATACAGAAACTTTAACCTAACAATGAACCCAGTTACATATTGGAACTATAATATGATTTTGTATATTCAACTAATTGTGTAACCCAAACTGTCCAAAGTTTAGGAGGCACAAATTAAATCTGAGTGGGGAAGGTTTAAAAGGGGAAAAAACCAGCCAATGGGATAATAATCCAGCATTAGTCTAAAACCAGTGTTGCTTACCTGAATGAAGTAGGCTGCTGTGTTCAACTGTGGCAATTTGTTTGATCTGAAAAGAAGTGAGGAAGGCCAGCCAAGAAAGGCAGAAAACCACTCTTTAGAACAATTAAGACACACAGAAGGAAACAAAAAATCACCCAGGAAGCAGGCACTACTTTATCTTTGCTGTTGCATAAATCTGTGGTTTGCAAAATTGAACTCCATACTTCCCCATTTAGGGGCACTGCAAACAGTGCAGGTCTTGTTCAATCAATTTACTGGCAAGAAAAAGGAACAAATTCTGCTTGCTGAAACTTGAGATTACCCCTCTTCCTCATAAACTGATCTGCTGCTGTACTATGAACTAGAATGGTATATCTTCAATATTTGGTAATTTTGGACCACTTTTAAAAGGCCGGGCTGTCCGTCTATGAAGAGCGTTAAACCTTCTGACAATGTGAAGTATAAGGAAACCACTGAGGATAAATAACTTATGCAAAAGGCAAAGAGAAACCAGCCTTTTTCTAACTTTATTGTTTGCACCTTACACCCCGCATTCCAAAAGGAACTGTGATTAGATCAATGGGACAGTGCTGCAGCGCCTTTCAACAGAGCGCCAAAAAGACCCTGGAAGCTGAAGCAATAATTTCCAACACAGCCGAAAGCTGTTTGAAACTAGCTCCATTTCCTATGGTGTGTCCCATTGCCCCAATATTTGTGTTGCCCCACAAATATTTTTGTGGTTTTTGAAAACTTAGGGTCCGGTCACACGCAGAGTTAGCCGTGCAATAGGGACAAATACTGGGCGGATTTTATGGATGCGACCACACAGGAACATCTGGCAAGTGACCCACACCTGTCAGCAACCCATATCGCCCCGCCAAAGATGCAGAGTAAAAAGATACTTGGGAAAGTGCAGTATTTTCCAGAAAACACGGGGCAGGGCGGGCATTGGATCGCAGAAGTGCTGGTATCCCATCACATCCGGTGTCCGCCTGCGTCCCGTCTCACACCGGATGTTGTTTTTTAAAGCCTTCGTGGTATGCGCACAAATGTGGAACTGCACATACGCACAAATGCATGTGTGATCGCACCATTCTGCTTTTCCCCCACCTTGCCACTCTTCACCGTCGACGTGTCATCGGTGGCTGACGGACTAAGCACAAAGCCTCAGGTGACCGTCTGATCGCAATACCACGCTTCATTTTGCTCCGGAGCAAAAAGCCTCACTTCCTCCCCAGATTATCTCGCTCGTGTGACCAAGACCTTAGAAAGTCTTGCAAAGGGGGATGTGTGTGTCTCAGCCAGAATTATGCTTCCAAAGCCTAAAGTGGGAACAGGACAGAAAAGGTGGCTGCATTGGGAACACTGCACTGGGAACACTCATGAAATAGCTTTATACCAAATCAGATCATCGGCCTACCAAGGTTAGTACAGTTCACCTTGATGGGCAGTGGCTCTTCATGGTGTCAGGTAGAGGTCTTTTGCGTGTCCTGCTTCCTGTTGCTTTGAAATGGAGAACGTAGAGGCTGAACTTGGGGAACTTCTCCATACAAAGCAGAGGTTCTTCCATGGAACTGAGTTGTAGCATTATGACAGAGGGAAGAAGAGTTCTTTCTACTTTCATCACAATACGCCTCATTTTATAACTTTTAAAAATATTTTTTATATATGTATATATTTATATTAAATATAATAGATAAATATATATTCGTAAAGGTAAAGGTCACGCTGTTACCTTCCCACCGAAGTGGTACCTATTTATCTACTTGCAATGTCTTGCTTTCGAACTGCTAGGTTGGCAGGAGCTGGAACTAGAGACGGGAGCTCACTCCGTCATGCGGCACACTCGGGTCTTGGAACTGCTGAACTATCGACCTTCCACAGGCTGCAGTTCAGCGTCTTAACCACCTGAGCCACTGCAGCTCCTAAATATATATTACATATATTTATATTAAATATATATTATATATTTATATTATATAATGTTATAATGTAGAGAGGGTGGGTGGAGCACTTTCCCCCCCCTTGTTTCTGGAAACAGAAGTTCTGTGATGTTAGATGTGTGGTCACACATTTGCACAGGCCAGGCATTAAAAGACGCTAGAGAGCTCAAGAGCCAAGCAGGCATGTGTGAACACAACTTTTATACAAATGCAGCAAGCGGTGGGGAAGGAACTTACAGTTCCAGGGTTACCCTGTTCCATATTGGTCATGCAGATTCAGCAGGCAATGCTTTGCCTGGTGTGGAGATTAGTGATGGGAAATGAAGGTGACAGTGTGCAAACTGAAGGTGGGCTATGGTAGATACCTACCTTTCTAATTTCCCCAGACCAGCTTTCTCGAAAGCTTCATTTGCTATATCACTGCAGTCCCGTGGTACAGCTCCTTGACATTACTGGTGTCAGAATGACTTAAAAATAAGACCGTATGTCTTTATACCCTGGGTTGAATCCAACCACCTTTTTCACTGATACAAGGGACCAGTTCTTTGACCACCAAAAAGGTTACTCTGGGGATTGTGGGACCTGCCTGGATGAAAACAATATGGAATGGGGGCTGTAATAAGGAGGGGAATTAGATGACATTGAATGAAGTTATAACGCATCAGACTACAACCACTGTACCAAATGCAAAAGCACTGTTGTTGTTCCTTAAAGATAAAGGTAAAGATTCCCTTGCTCGAAAGCCAGTCGAGTCCGACTCTAGGGTTGCAGTGCTCATCTCCGTTTCAAAGCTGAAGAGCCAGCGCTGTCCGAAGACGTTTCCGTGGTCATGTGGCCGGCATGACTAAACACCAAGGCGCACGGAACGCTGTTACCTTCCCGCCGAAGTGGTCCCTATTTATCTACTTGCAATTTCTTGCTTTCGAACTGCTAGGTTGGCAGGAGTGTTGTTCCTTAGGGATGAGGTAGATACCAATACGTAATATTTCTTTATTACTGTCATTGAATTGCATACATATATATATACATATGAGGCCAAAATTGTTTTCTTAAAAACTCTCCCTGGGAATTGAAAGCATGCATCAGTATTGTAATTTTTCTGTAAATAGCTGCTTAGCATGACATCTGAATGGAGCCCTGGGTCTGACCTTTGGAGGCTAGGAAGAGATTATCCCTTTTCCAGAGTTAAAGGTGGTACAAGGACCATATTTATTTAAAACATTTCCATCCCCCCCCCCCTTCCCAAACGCTCAAGATGTCTAAGAAAGGTGAAAACTGTAGTCTGTCACGTAAAAACTATTTAACAAACTCGGCTGAAGTCTATTGTAATCTCAAGCTTTCACTAGCAATACTAGAAATACAAATGCATCCCAATTTTCTGGCGTTTAGCGGCTTTTTGTGAGATTCCCATTTGATTAGGGGAGATAGTGGAATAAAAGAAATAACATTCTCACACCCCGGGTTCCCCTAATCTTTCACTAAGTGGATTTTCCCTGCTTTGCTGTGATCTTTTCCATGATTAAAGGGAATGGTGCACACCTCACATCTCTGAAACAAAAGGGCTAAACTCTTACCTTTTTTTGATAAAAGCTGGGGATTTTGGAGGAAGTAGGGAATTCTGCTAATAGAGCATTACTGTGCTAAAGCAACCTAGCAACTGCTGATTTTTTTTAAAGCCTGAATAAAGCCCTCCAGCAGTTGGGGGGGGGGAATGGGGGCTGCAAGAGGTGACAAGAAAAACACAGGGAAAACTGCTGTGTCATGGTTCTGTTGCTTCATGGCCACAATGAGAACTCTGCAGAAGCAGCCTAGGTCAACTCCACAGGAAATGATAACTTTGTCATGCTTCAGATGTAACCTGAAACCGATGAGTAATGTTTCCCAGTGGTAGGACACGCAGAACCCTGAAACATGAATGCTCTCTGCAAACAGGTCAGAATTCACAAATAATGAGAGATTTCTGGTCACAATTGTAGTCATTCCACAGTCCATTTTCAGGTACAATAATAACACAATCCTCGATTCCATTGTAGTTATTGGGCTCTCCTCCTTTCCAGTTTGTGTAGCTTAAGGGTGCCCCGTTTGCGTACACAAATCTGCCCTCTGTCTGGATATCGGTGATATCGAGATAAGCAAACTTGGAATCCCTCTTCGTTAGTTCATGCACAGCAGCATTCTCTGCAGCATTCTTGGGACAGGCCATGGTCGCTTCAGCTTTCGCACACAGGGCTCTGCCATTGGCAAAAGTGTCATGCCGGCGAGTTGAAAAGAAAGTTTTCTGTCCGACTGTCAGCCCCTGCAGTAACACCACTGGGCGAAGAGAGAAATAGAGTCAGCAGTGAGAATCTCTACTTTTTAAATCCCTCCCTGAAGAAAGATTCCTGTACTTCACTCCTCCTACATGGTTGTATCATTTGCACCAATCCCCTGCAGAGACTAGGAATGAGGCTCGGGATATATGGGATGGACTTTCATGGCTCTAATCCCATGGTTAAGCCTGCTGTTTTCGTGTACACTCAAGTTAGCGCTTCTCAAAAAAAGTGAGAAACAAAGCAATTGGTTGCTGTCATACAACACTGACAAAAGGCCTTGCATTGGTGGATCTTCCCCAGCAGCCCGTTGAGACTCCCCCCAAAGGCATTGGCTGAGGTCGTGGAACACACATAAAGCTGCACTGTACTGAATCAGACCCTTGTTCTGTTGCAACTGGTGTTGTCTACTCAGACTGCTCTCTTAGGGTCTCAGGCAGAGGTCTCACAATACCCATTGCTAGATTCTTTAAATGGAGATGCCAGGTCAGGGGTGTCAAACATATGGCCTGTGGGCCAGATTCGGCCTGCCCAGGGTTTTAATCCAGCCTGTAGCTCTCTTCTCTCTCCCTGCCCCTGTCCCTGCCTGCCCTCGCCCTTCTGAGCTGCCTCTGAGTGCAGTGAGTGGAGCTGGCAAATTTTCCTCATCTTCGCTGGCTTCTCTGTGCCCATGTGCATCTGCTAGAGTTGTTTATTTGCTGAAGTTTACTGGCTGAGGGGGAGGCAACTTGGTTGCAAATGTTGTACTTCCAGGCGGAGGGTTTTCTCTGGTGTTCATTGAGCTAAGGAGCCAGGTGGGTCTGTCCCTGGCACCTCCAGTTAAAAGGACCAGGCTGTGGCTTATTATGAGAAAGTCTTCAGCCTGAGACCCTAGAGAGAAACTGCCACTCAGAGTAGACCTGGGCTGGAGGTAAGCTTGTAACGTTCAGCCATTTCATGTTTTCCCCTGGGTCCTCGGCTCAGTGTATTGACCATGAGAGCAGGCTGGGGAAAGGGTTTGCTCCCCACTCGGGACAGTATGGGGGCATCGGCCCAGTGCTGCACTGCATCGTTAACTGTGTTTGCCTGTGTCTGTTTATCTCCGCTACCTGATATTACATTTTTTTTGACAAACACAGTCCAGCCCGACAAAGACCCATTTATGTAATCTGGCCATTATAACAAATGTGTTTGAGACCCCTGTGCTAGGGATTGAGCCTAGGACCTTCTGCATACCAGGCAGATACTCTCCCCTTCCGGTCAAAAGCTGAAGGGCATGTAGTTCTGCAATAAGAAAGGAAAATAGGGGGGAATTGCCCGATCTTGCGATTGGACTAATGGAAAGCTGGTTTGTGTACTTTGTGAGACAGCAGAAAGGATGGAGGGAAGATTTTGCCCGATTACTTGTCCTTAGGTGTCTGATGGATTCCCACGACCATCAGCAATACCTTCCATTTCAGGGGCTGTTTGAGGAAGGAGAGCATGGAGAAAGATTCACAAAAGGGTCATGGTTCATAAGAGACACGAAAGTGGTGAATATGAGCATGGATGTCTTAAAGGGGGGTTAGGCAGGTTCATGTAGGAGAGGTCAATCAATGACTACTAGCCATGGTAATTAAAGGGAACCTCCACATCGAGAGGTAGTAAACCTCTGAATACCAGTGCCAAGAGGCAACATCAGGGGAAGGCCTCGGTCTCTATGCCCTGTTGTTGGTGCACCAGAGAGCCACCGTATGAAGACAGGATGTGTGGCTTGATGGACCACTGGTCTGATCCATCAAGGCTCTTGTTATGTTCTTAATGCAATACAGACATATTTATCATATCATCTTACCATTTTTGTATTTGTTAAATTCAGCTTGAAGAGCCTGGAGCTTGTTCTCCAGAGCAGTTACTTGATTCTGAACAGCATCAGTAGCTAAGGGAAAGCAACCAGGTGGGGAAAATCATTGTTAAGTACCAAGAGTTCCACGTATTGAAAGCAATGGTGATCGGTCATTATGATCGACAGTGACACACACATCCACACCCCAGTCTCTGCAGTGCACTGTACACATTTATTTTAATGAATTTGTATGCCGCTTCCCCCAGATTCCTGCTCACTGTCGCCAATAAAAATCACAACTGTTAAAAATGGCCCAGTGAATGATAATTGTAAGCCTTGTAAAATATCTATTGTTTTAAAAGGTTGTGATGTGATCTAGAGGGAGGTGATCTCTACAGAGAGGCTGAGTGAGTGGACGCCTGGCAACAGGACAAGAAGCCGAGTCTTTTTTCTCCTCAGGGTGTGGAGAATTCCTGAAGAGGAAGTTCCTGAGGAGAAAAGCCTGTGAAGATGGAGTCAGGCGGTCATCAGAAGAGTCTTTATATATGTTTTGTCTTTAAAAATAAAAAAAGTTAACGATAAAACAAATAAGAAGAGTGGCGTTCTTCTGACGTGCCATTCCTGCAAAAAACTGAAGTCGCATTCCTGAGTGTTTGTGTGACTTCTTCTGCTGCAGCTGTGAGGAAAAGGGGCTTGTGAAAAACAGAGACCATGCCAAGTGTGCAACACTATCCTGCCTGCCGGTTTCAAGCCAGAGACTTCCTTCTCTTTTCACGACAACTTTGGGACTGCTCAGTATAATTGTTATTCACACTGTTTTGTTTAAAACTCCCAGTTCTGAAACCACTGTTGTCCCCACCTTTCAATAAAAGTTATTGGTTTTAGTGCTGTTTGGGTTTTGAATGGGGCATCCACAATCTGTGACCTCTATCCTGACCCTTTTAAGACTAAAAGGGTTACATAATAAGAACAACACAATAAGACTTTGTCCCCCCGTGGGTTCTTCCGCGGCCTTACAGGTGAGGGACAGAGAAGCCTTACCTTCCATGCAGGGTGTTACCGCGGGCATTACCGCGGAGGTGGACACTTCCGCTATCCACCCCACGCCTCGGGGAGTTCAAGGGGGCGGGAATGCCACAATCAGATCAATGGGGTTGGGGAAAACACGGGAAACAGGGAATGTGATAGGGGACATAGCCTATGGGCACCACGGGGTGTGTTTGCCGAGTGAAAAAGGAAATAGAAGGAGGAAACAAGAAACACCGGGGAGGAGCTCAGAGAATCGGCAAGCACAGAGAGAGAGCAAAGCGAAAAGGCGATTCTTCTGAGAACAAGGTCTGGCGTGTGGTGTAACACCCAGCCCGTTCATATCTGAGGTGTTTGTTTCCTTTACTAATCTCCTCCCACCACGGCGACGGGCTATACAGCGCCTGGGAGCAACCCGAATCGTGACAGACTTCACCTCTCTAGTAATAAAGCCATCCCAGATACCAGAAAAATGTGTGTTGGACTAGGACCCAGGAGAGACTATTGGGGACCCCTGATCTACTGCAAGAAAAGCTAACCATCAAAAAGCTGGGAACTTACCTGCTCTTTCTCCCTTTTGTCCTTTTTCACCTGGAGGTCCTTGCATTCCAAACGGGCCCGGAGGTCCAGCCTTTCCAGGTGATCCCTGGTAGCCCTTCAGTCCGACCCCTGGGGTTTTGGGGAAAAGAAAGGCTGAATACCTCTGGGGTTTAATTCCTTTAAACAAAAAGCCACTAAGAGAAAGCTCCTTCAAATTATCACCCACAGTGGCTTTCTTTCTGTGATAATCAGTGTGCCTTGGCATTTCTTTATTTTGTAGATTTCTGCCCCAACCATTAGCCAAAACCATTTATGGGTGCTAACAGCAGAAACGTATAAATATATAAATTAATAAAATAATACAAGTATGAAAAGTATAATAGAAGTTAAACCTCACTGCATTATACTAAGTTAATAATATGAGTAATAACAACAGGAAACATCTTGTAGTAAAAACAAGACAAGATAAATTGGGCAAGACAAAGTGAAAAAGCTGGCTGGATCCAGCCCCATGTACCTTGTTTCCAGAAAAAAAATTAGATCAAGATCATGCCCTGGTACATGCAACCTAGAGAACTATGGGAAAGTCCCATGGTTGCCATGGCACAGCCATGGAGTCCTAAACCACTCCTGCCCTCTGAGGCATCTGGGCACCAGCAGCAGGCCAATTCTCTGCTCCCCTGGCTTGCCCTAGCTGATATTATTCTAAGGGAGGCTCCTTAACTTAGAAGTTACAGTATTTTTAAAGTTTCCCAATATTTGGGAGTCTTTGTTCAGGCCTGCAGCCCTTCACATGGCCCAGCTATAACAGCACCTTCCTCCTATATGGAATCAACCAAAGAGGACTATATGACTGGGATTTTGTTATCTCTGTTTGCCTGCCACACTATGGGTCAAAGAAGGAGGGTTGACAACCTCCAAGTGGTGGCTGGAGGTCTCGCAGAATTATAGTTGATCCCCAGGCTACAGAGAATGGTTCCCCTGGAAAAAATGGCTGCATTGGAAGGTGGACTCTATGGCATTATATCCTGCTGAGGTCCCTCCCCTCCTCAAGCCCCACCTTCTGCAGGCTCCACCCACAAAATCTCAAGGAATTTCCCAACCTATAGCTGGCAACACTACAAAGAAGACTTTCCTCAGGTCTCCAAGGAAGAGACATTCTAGCATTTTAAAGTTCCCAGGCCTCTCTTCTCTGCTAGGTGTCATTGTCTCCAGCCACTGGTGTGAGCTGAACCTTGTAGTCTTCATCCCAGGAGGTCATTAGCATTTCTAAAACCTCATGGCTGTGACATGTTCCCCACCACCACCACCACTGCTCTCTGTTAAGAGAGAGAGGAAAAACCGCTAAAACTAAAGTTGAAGGTTTTATACATTTCAAAGTGAAATGCATTTCTTCACAACAGATATGATCAAAACACAGAGATCCCCCCAAAAAAACGAATAAGAAACCAGAGAGTAAATTAAGATAAAACAGTAGTATTCCCATAAAGCATTTCTGCTTATACACAACACACTGTATAGTTATGTGGTATCGAATTACAAGCGTGGTACCTTGGTCTCCTTTCTCTCCTTTGGTGCCATCCCTTCCGTCTCTGCCTGGTAAACCTGGAATGCCACATGCCACCATGGAGCATGTGTTTGTTTCAGGACTGCTTACTTCAGAAACTACCACACACACCAGAGATGTTCCCATCACCAGGGCCGTGAAAAGTTGGAGCAGATACATTGCTGAGACCTTAGAGAGAGTGAAGAAAGTGTTTTCTGGAGCTTCTGTGCGCAAAGGACATTGTTTCATCTCTGAAGAAGGGATTCTCAAATCTTTTAGACCTACTTATCAACGTGCTTTCCCCCTGTTGACTGAAACTATGGGCATATCGACATGATAATCTGGAACCAAGTGGAGAAACCAACTTGCGGAGGAGAGAGCTTCACACAGAAGATCATGGAAATTCTATTTTTACATGAAGCTGAGGAAAATGTTGACAAACTGTCCAGTTCGTTCACAGAACTAAAGTTCCCAGGAACCTTTGATAGGGAACTGTGCCAATGAAACAGCTTGGGCAGTGGCTTAAACACACATATGCCATTTTCAAATAAAGAGATCTGTATGTGGAAGCAGGGTTTTGTATGTGGGAATTGCAGTCATACATCCAATGAGCATCAAACAGCATATTGAAAATGGATGCCATCTGTCCAGTGACAACTTTAGTTGGAGATTCTGTACAATTCTGCTTCTGTAACTATGTGCAAATGCAACTGGATGGACTATAGAATATGGAATTTCACTGTTGCTATCAAAAGTAAACACAGTTCACTCTTTAAGAATTGTGCATGTTGCTTTGAGGACTTATATCAGCTGTTAAAGTGACTAATGGATTTTTAAAATCAAGGGAATTAATGCAGTCCAAAAACAAGTTACTGGAAGCCTTCAAGATTACCTCTTTGAAAGGTCAAGTGAAACCGATGACTAAAATTCTCCGTATGCCTCAAGATCCAATATAAAACAGAGGGAGGTTGTCTTTAAAGAGAGATTCCCTCAGCATTGTTGTTACTGGTGTTTTGTTTTGTTTTAACATTTTAGCACTTTGTTGTATAAAGCCGCAATTGTTTTCTTAAAGATCCTCAGCTGATAATGGAGTGCATGGTCTGTCATTGCAATTTTCACTACATGAACACTGAACTGTGCTAAACATGCCAAGATTAAAAAAACATAATTTTTTAATCATTTGAGATATGTAAAAAAATAATGAATGGGCATTGGCTAATACTGAGAGAATGGCCCCCAATCCTGTTATACTCATTAGGCAACTGAGCATTGTCTTAATTTTTTTAAAAAATTTTATTCATTTTTTTAATCACACAATTACAACAATATTTGACAGAAAGAACAGTTACCAGCTCGCTTAAACAGTTTTTCCCTGTAGTTCAAGAGAATGAGGTAACCTTTACAAATGCACCTAATACAACTTAATACACTTAAAGCATGTATCAAACACAGAGCAGTTAAAAGAACAGCAACTTTTTGTATAAGGGTTTTTTTGGGATTGTCTCACTATTTTCTAGATAACTAATGATAGGAAACCATACCGCCTGAAACCACTTTTGGTACTTCTCTGATTGCACAGCTGAAGAATTATATGAAGTGCGCCCATGTATAAAGCATTCCCAGACCTTCCTTTGCCAGCATATTAATGTGGGAACATATTTCTGTTTCCATTTTTGTGCAATCGTTCTTTTTGCCAACATCAGTAAAGTCGACACTAATGTTTCTGAGCTTTTTCTACTTACAGGCGTACGCCATGTCTCCAGAAAGATGGAATTTAGAGTGCAAGGTAAATCTATTTCTGTTATTAGTGCAATTTGTGAAATTATCAGCGTCCAGTAGCCTTTTATTTGTGGGCAGGACCACCAGCAATGCACAAAGTCCGCTAGAGCACCACAATTTTTCCAGCATTTATTTGGAATCTTTGGGATTATTTTATGTAGAACTGCCAGTGTCATATACCACCTATTCAATATTTTGAATGAGGT